AATTGTGTGAACACAAAAAAGGAGGCAAGAAATATTTGTTATACTAGGCTGACTACTGCTAGGTAAATAAGAAATGCTCTCCTCATTTTGCAGATGAGATCAAGAGGTTGGGGAACTGTCTCCCAGGCAGACAGATGGCGTGTACCTGAGGAGGAGGTAGAGGCTCTAGGGTAACCTTTAGGGAAGATGTGAAGTGAGCTCCCCTTGCAGGGAAGCAGTGGGAGTGATGTGGGCTGTGGTGTCACACTCCCTAGGGTGTGCTCATGACTCTACCACTAGCTGTGTGACTTCCACAAGCCCCTCAATCTCTCTGAGCCTTCATTTCCACATATGAAAAGTGGAAATATTAATTTACATTTCAAAAAGTGCTATTGTGTGACCAGGAGTGGTAGCTTATGCCTGTAATCCTAGTACTTTGCTAGGCCGAGACTAGTGCATCCCTTGAGCCCAGGAGTTTGAGACCAGCCTGAGCAACATGGTGAAACCCGGCCTGTACAAAAATTATTTTAAAAAATTAGCTGGCCTGTAGTCCTAGCCACTTGGGAGGCTGAGAGGTGGGAGGATCACTTGGGCCCAGGAGGCTGAGGCTACGGTGAGCTGTGATCATACCACTACCCTCTAACCTGGGGTGACAGAGCAAGACCCTCTGTCAAAAAAAAAAAAATGCTGTTGTGGATATGAAGTAGGAGAATGCAGGAAAAGTGTATCCAAAGCACAGAGCTAGGAATATAGTGAGTACTCACTCAGCAGCTACTGGCTGGGTATCTGGAATCTCAGCATTTCGGGAGGCCAAGACAGGAGGATTTTTTGAGGTGATCCAGCTTGAGTTTGAGACTAGCCTGGTCTCAAGCCTGGGTCTTCAGTTTGCCGGACTGGCAACATAGTGAAACCCCATCTTTACTAAAAATAAAAATATTACCTGGGCGTGGTAGTAAGCACCTGTAGTCTCAGCTACTTGGGAGGCTGAAGTGGGAGAATGGCTTGAGCCTGGTTGAGCCTGGGAGGTTGAGGCTGCAGTGATCTGTGACAGTGCTACTGCACTCCAGCCTGGGTAACAGAGTAGGACTCTCTCTCTCTCTCTGAGAGAGAGGGATCTCTCAAAAATAAATAAATAAATAAACAACCAAACAAACCCAGCAGCTACTGTTAGGTCTCACCTGTCCAAAACTCCAAACCTCAACAATCAGACCCACCTACCGAATGCTGGAAAAGTCTAACACCCATCAGCCTCTGTGAATTCCCAATATTTAAGCCTGGGTCTCACACACACAAACTTCTAGAATACTTATAGCCATGATTTTATAGCCTCTGCCCAAGTAAGAGAGGAAGAGGTGAAAGGGTTTGCCATGCTGTCCCTTCTTTTATTTCCCTCTCTTTTGTCCTAAATGAAGATGAAGGTCACAAACTGCATGAGTCCAACTATAGGACATTCCTATAGTCCAACTATAGGAAAAGGCTGAACTATGGAAACAGTAAAAAAGATCAGTGACTACTAGGGGTTGAGGGGATGGAGGTTTGAATAAGCAGAGTGCAGATAATTTTTTGGGCAGCAAAACTATTTTGCATGATGTTGTAATGGTGGATACATGTCATTATCCACTTGTCAAAGCCCATAGAATATACAACACAAAGAGTAAACCCTAATATAAACTGTGCACTCTGGGTGATGATATGTAGTTTCATCAATGTTGGTTTGTTGATTTTAACAGATGCCCCACTCTGGTGCAGGATGTTTACAGTGGGGGAGGCTGTGTATGTGTAGGTGCAGGGAGTATATGAGAACTCTCTTGCTTTCTGCTCCATTTTACTGTGAACCTGAAACTGCTCTGAAAAATAAAGCCTATTTTTTTTTTTGTTTGTAGATAGTGATTTATTTAGAGAGAGAGAGAGAGAGAGAGAGAGAGAGAGA